GGTGTGGACGTCGGGCTAGAGCAGCCATTCGTCGTTTGCTGTTGCTGAGTGGTGGTTCGTTGTTGGAGGTGTGGAGCGCCCGCTAGCCGGGGTTCCGGCTGGCGGTATGGAGGTGGCCGGTGGTAGCCGTGTTCGACAGGTGGATACTGTACTGCTGGATTTTTCTGGTGCAGTGGACTGGCCCATTGTGGAGATTGTTCTCCTGGACGTGCTCCGTGTCGACGTCTCCGATCTCCTGGGGCTAGAAAAGCTCTCCCCAACCCGTGTGACGGTGTCATTTGCCACGTCGCTTATTTACCAGGAGTTTGTGGCACACTGGGATGCAAGCTCGCTTCCTCTTCCTGCTTCAGCTGTGACTGTGGAGATCTTGGATCCCTGGGGGCCCTTGACTTTTGTGAGTGTTCACGGTGTGCCGGTGACCTTCCCCGAGGCGGAGCTCATGTCGGTGTTTAATGATCCACAGCTGTGTTTAGTGTTTAGTATCCACAGCTGTGGATAATGATGCTGTGGGCGACGTTGTGCTGCCTCCTGTGGAGCCTTCTGTGTTGGACACTGTGCCCCTTGCTGGTGGCTCTCCTCAGTGGGCGGTGGCCCCTGGTGACCGCGACCTCGTAGTGGTGTTGTTGAACAATGTGAGACTGGGGGACTCTGCTCCTGTTCCGATTGGCGGGGACACTGGGGCGCCTGCAGAGCCACCCTCCGCCGAGCTCGGTGCGATGCCCGGCGTCGAACGCTGTGTGCGCCCTAGCGGGCAGCCCGATGTGCGGCCCGCTGTGCAGCCTGGTGTGCTTCAGAATGTACGGCCCTGTGACAGGTTTCCTAGGGGGAAACCCTTCCCTTTCGTCCTCCCATCCGGAGAGGTGGTCGCTAGGTGGATACCTGGTAGTGGTTATGCTGGCTACATCTATGAGTTTTGAGTGTGATGACCTGGTGTGTCCTGTTCCCTGGTGCCCTTCTACCATCTGGGTTCCACGGGTGCAGTGTTTCATCATTGGCGTGCCGGATTTGATGCCTCGGGCTACTGCGACTCCTGGACGTCCACTTACTGAAGACGACCTAACTGTTTGGGATGCTTACTGCTTACGATTTCCGGCTCGGGAGTGCCCGGAGAAGTTTGAGTGATCCGTGTGGTTGGTTTCTGTCTGTGTTGTGCGTGTTGTTTCCCCAGTGCCTGCGTGCACAGGTGGGTGTCCTTGTCTGTACGTGTGTGTGGTGTGGGTGTGTGTTCCTCGCTCCTGCATGTGTGTGTGTTTGTTCCTGGCTCCTGCGTGGCTTGTTTTGATGTTTTTGCGATTTGTTTTGTTCTTTGCCTTTGTGTCTGTATGTGTGTTTGTGTTGTGGTTGTGTGCGGTTGTGGGTGTTTGGTGTTCTTTCTTTCCTGTCTTTGCGCGCGCCCTGTGTGTTGGGGTGGCGGGCGTGTTGGTGTGGGGTGGCGGGCGTGTTGGTGTGGGGTGGCGGGCGTGTTGGTGTGGGGTGGCGGGCGTGTTGGTGTGGGGTGGCGGGCGTGTTGGTGTGGGGTGGCGGGCGTGTTGGTGTGGGTGGCGGGCGTGTTGGTGTGGGGTGGCGGGCGTGTTGGTGTGGGGTGGCGGGCGTGTTGGTGTGGGGTGGCGGGCGTGTTGGTGTGGGGTGGCGGGCGTGTTGGTGTGGGGTGGCGGGCGTGTTGGTGTGGGGTGGCGGGCGTGTTGGTGTGGGGTGGCGGGCGTGTTGGTGTGGGGTGGCGGGCGTGTTGGTGTGGGGGTGGTGTGGTTGTGTATGTTGCTGTTCCGTGTGTTTGTCGCATAGGTTGTGTGTGTGTGATTATTTCTTTGTCCTTGTAATTGCTTTATTCTTTGTACATATTTTATGCTTTTTATGTTCTTATGTGTAGTTTTTGGATTTACTGTTCATTTGTTGTTGTGTCCTCATTTGTGTCCGGTTCAGCTCCTGTGTGTGCGGGGTCGGACTGCCCGGCCTTGTGTGCGGGGTCGGAGTGCCCGGCCTTGTGTGCGGGGTCGGACTGCCCGGCCTTGTGTGCGGGGTCGGACTGCCCGGCCTTGTGTGCGGGGTCGGACTGCCCGGCCTTGTGTGCGGGGGTCGGACTGCCCGGCCTTGTGTGCGGGGTCGGACTGCCCGGCCTTGTGTGCGGGGTCGGACTGCCCGGCCTTGTGTGCGGGGTCGGACTGCCCGGCCTTGTGTTCTGTTTTCTTCCCCCTTTTCTGTTCCAGGAGTGGTTGGCTTTCTGTAAAGTTGTTGTAGCTTTTGTGTAATTTTTCTTGTACCTTTTTGTTCTTGTACTTATGTCATTTTGTTGTTGTGTACTGTATGCATTATCTGTCCCATGCTGTTTGTGGGTTTCTTTGCTTGTGTCCTGTGTGCTTTCCTGTGACCTCTTGTGTGTATTTTATGTCTGTTTCATTGTGTTTGCTTTGTTTCATGTTTAAGCACGATTGTGTGTATTTATATGTTGTTTTGCACTTGTTCCCTGTTTTTGTACTTTGGTTTTTTATATATCAATAAAGAAAGTGGTAAGTTGGTAAACATCTGTAGTGTATTGCGTGTTATATTAAGTGTGTGTCACATCACTCTACGCCTCAGCCATCCAGCCTCTTGAGACCTCCCAGTTCGTCTTAATGCCTCTCACATGGAGTTGAGAGTTGAGGATGAAATGCACTTTTTGAAATGTTGCAATTTCATATTTAATACCTATATCTAGAGTTCATAATAATTTCAAAGTATTTTTTTTCCTTTCCTAATTTACTCTTAAAAAAGAGTTTTTTTTTTTTTTTACCCTGACTACCTATAGCCAGGTTGCTCATAAACTTCATTCCCGGTCCAACTCGGTCCATACCGGTCCACACCCTGGACTCAAACCGGTCCATACATCGAACCCAGAACGTCCTCTCGATCGTTCACGATGTCGTTAAAATGACATACTAAACTGCCGGAACCTAACCGAACCGAGGACCTGCGACAAAAAATGGGACATCACGTCAATATTGCGAACCGCTGTGACTTTTAGGACACGGGTGTCTGGCCTTAGGGGCTCTGTATGGCAATATATGCAATGAATTATTTGAGAGGACGAGATGTGGAACCATACCCGCGGTCCAGACCTTGAGCCCTAACTGGTTTATGCTCGCTAACGAGGTCCACACAAGAAGAAACTTACCGGTTCATACACGACACTTACCGGTTCATACAAGACACTGGTTCATACACGACACTTACCGGTTCATACACGACACTTACCGGTTCATATAAGACACTGGTTCATACACGACACTTACCGGTTCATACAAGACACTGGTTCATACACGACACTTACAGGTTCAAATAATACACTAACCGGTTCATACACGACCCTTACCGGTTCATACACGACCCTTACCGGTTCATACACGACCCTTACCGGTTCATGCAAGAGACTTACCGGTTCATACAAGACACTTACCGGTTCATACAAGACACTTACCGGTTCATACAAGACACTTACCGGTTCATACAAGACACTTACCGGTTCATACAAGACACTTACCGGTTCATGCAAGACACTTACCGGTTCATACAAGACACTTACCGGTTCATGCAAGACACTTACCGGTTCATACAAGACACTTACCGGTTCATACAAGACACTTACCGGTTCATACAAGACACTTACCGGTTCATACAAGACACTTACCGGTTCATGCAAGACACTTACCGGTTCATACAAGACACTTACCGGTTCATGCAAGACACTTACCGGTTCATACAAGACACTTACCGGTTCATACAAGACACTTACCGGTTCATACAAGACACTTACCGGTTCATACAAGACACTTACCGGTTCATACAAGACACTTACCGGTTCATACAAGACACTTACCGGTTCATACAAGACACTTACCGGTTCATGCAAGACACTTACCGGTTCATGCAAGAGACTTACCGGTTCATGCAAGACACTTACCGGTTCATACAAGACACTTACCGGTTCATGCAAGAGACTTACCAGTTCATACAAGACACTTACCGGTTCATACGCGACACTTACCGGTTCATACAAGACACCGGTTCATACAAGACACTTACCGGTTCATACAAGACACCGGTTCATACAACAGCCCCTTACTGATTCAGGTCCACAACAAGAGGTTATTTGTCCTATGGGCCAAGCTTAGGAGCTTGGGTCCTAGGAGGGCGTCCAGCTAGGTCCCTAGAGCAATTAAGAGCGTCCTGGCCCCCCAGTAGGGTGTCCTAACTCCCAGCAGGAGCATTCGGTGCCTAGCAGATATCCTGGACCTTGTTCTGTCCCCAGCAAGGGCGAGTTGGCCCCCAGCAGGAGCGCCCTCGCCCCCCAGCAGGAGCGCCCTCGCCCCCCAGCAGGAGCGCCCTGGCCCCCAGCAGAAGCGCCCTGTCCCCCAGCAGGAGCGTCCTCGCCCCCCAGCAGGAGCGCCCTCGCCCCCAGCAGGAGCGCCCTGGCCCCCAGCAGAAGCGCCCTGTCTCTCAGCAGGAGCGTCCTGGCCCCCAGCAGAAGCGCCCTGTCCCCCAGCAGGAGCGCCCTCGCCCCCAGCAGGAGCGTCTTCGCTCCCCATCAGGAGCGCCCTGGACCCCCAGCAGGAGCACCCTCGCCTCCAGCAGGAACGCCTTCGCCCCCAGCATGAGCACCCTCGCCCCCAGCAGGAGCGCCCTCGCACCCCAGCAGGAGCGCCCTGGACCCCCAGCAGGAGCGCCCTGGACCCCCAGCATGAGTGCCCTCGCCCCCAGCAGGAGCGCCCTCGCCCCCAGCAGGAGCGCCCTCGCCCCCAGCAGGAGCACCCTCGCCCCCAGCAGGAACGCCCTCACCCCCAGCAGGAGCGCCCTCGCCCCCAGCAGGAGCGCCCTGGCCCCCCAGCAGAAGCGCCCTGTCCCCTAGCAGGAGCGCCCTCGCCTGGAACGCCTTCCCCCCAGCAGGAGCGCCCTCGCCCCCAGCAGGAGCGCCCTCGCCCCCAGCAGGAGCGCCCTGGACCCCCAGCAGGAGCGCCCTGGACCCCAGCATGAGCGCCCTCGCCCCCAGCAGGAGCGCCCTGACCCCCCAGCAGGAGCGCCCTGGACCCCCAGCAGGAGCGCCCTGGCCCCCAGCAGGAGCGCCCTCGCCCCCAGCAGGAGCGCCCTCGCTCCCCAGCAGGAGCGCCCTGGACCCCCAGCAGGAGCGCCCTGGCCCCCAGCAGGAGCGCCCTCGCCCCCAGCAGGAGCGCCCTCGCCCCCAGCAGGAGCGCCCTGACCCCCCAGCAGGAGCGCCCTGGCCCCCAGCAGGAGCGCCCTGGCCCCCAGCAGGAGCGCCCTCGCCCCCAGCAGGAGCGCCCTCGCCCCCAGCAGGAGCGCCCTCGCCCCCAGCAGGAGCGCCCTCGCCCCCAGCAGGAGCACCCTCGCCCCCAGCAGGAGCGCCCTCGCCCCCAGCAGGAGCGCCCTGGCCCCCAGCAGGGGTGTACCATGACGTGTCGCTCCCCCGGGAACAACACCTCACTCCGTCAGCGGGAGGTAATAATGTTGCCAGGCGCCTCCCCGCCAGTAATGGTATTTTCTCCTCCCCGAGCGCAGTCACCGGCTGCTCCGCCCAACATGCATTACCTTCACCAATTTCATATTTTTATCACGGTCTTCCATCACGGCAGGACAGGCAAGTGTAATATTAATGAAAGTTTAAAAGCCACAGATTTCCTTTTTCCAACCTGTCCACAAGGAGGAAATACGCTCACGGGAATGGATTGTGAACTACATAATTAGTGCTATTATCTATTCTCTATCCATGGTTAGAGTAGGTTAAGGTTAATTTAGGATAAAGTTTGATTAGGTTAGGTTAGATATCATTATCTTTAGTTACGTTAATATGGTGTATTTATTGATGATAATGTGAAATGTGGAATTCGAAAACTATTTCAGTGTACCCAAGAATTCCGTTTACAGAAAATCAAGAAGAATAAAAGCCTAATAAAGTCGATGCCTTATTGTTATGGGGGCTCTCAATCCATGATGGGTGGGGCAGTGTGTTTATCGCCCCCTCAGAAGAAGATGGTTGGGGCAGTGTGTTTATCGCCCCCTCGCCCCCAGAAGAAGATGGGTGGGGCAGTGTGTTTATCGCCCCCAGAAGAAGATGGTTGGGGCAGTGTGTTTATTGCCCCCTCGCCCCCAGAAGAAGATGGTTGGGGCAGTGTGTGGCCTGCCCGAAACGCTGCGCGTACTAGTGGCTTTACAAGATTGTAATTACTATCCTATATATCCTCACAATCCCAATGTACCTTCTTGTATATATATAAATAAATAAATAAATGTGTGCTGCATATTCTGCCTAAGTCAATATGACGAGCTTGTGAAGTCAGTATATTAAGGAAGGCACTCAGCCAACACCTAAGGTAATCAGTGGGAACAGGGAACACTATTAGGCAGACTTGGGGAAAATAGGCATAAGCAAAAACAGCACAGGTAGCTCTACCAGCATATTCGTGTCCTTGTGCATTGCTGCCAGCATTAGTAGAAAAGATTCTACCATAGTTCAAAAGACATGGGCTCTCGCTCCGAAGTTCATCAAAGAAGTCAGTCAGTGGGAGTCTACTGTATACCCTTCACGCCGACTACTATCCCCCTAAAGATCACAGTCAGGCTCAATAGGATAGTTCCATAATAGAAAAAAAATAATTTGAAAATGCATCTGAGAATAAACCCCGTTTCCTACAAGTAAAAGCACCATATGCTAGGGACTTTTTATTTGCTGTAACCAACTTTATCCTAAGAACTCGCATTAATCGCGATGCTCTTTGTATTGGCAGATCAATAAGGCTACCATGGTCCGACACGCCGTAAATGACGAGGAAAAATTACAAGTCAATGACATCATTAAGGGGAGCCTCGCTACGGCTGACTGCCCAGCACAAAGAGAACCACGTGTAAATAGACCCAACGTGTGGGAGCACACATTGGGTCTGACACAACACATGTACTTCCATATTAATTTAAAATAAAGGCGAAATTATCGTTGTTTCTTTCAGGTAAACACAAACAAAACATAAAACACTGATGATTGTCCCAGTGCTACGTTTATGTTTCGATTGGCTCGTGATGCAAATATTCATCTAAATTCCTGCAAGAACTACATAACAATAACCTAATTACAATAACTAATTACAATAACCTAAAACATAGAGTTCGAGCCCCTTAACACAGGCGCTGAAGAGGAAAATGCTTACTGCGTCTTGGGCACACGCCCAGCAGCCCCATGAGGAGATCGAGGAGCTCTGTGAATTATATCGGGTGTCGAGCTGGCTTACGATATACCTTATATAACCCATGTGTCTTTCATTGCTTCTAACTATAGTGATGCATATACGTTGGGGCTACACAATTTGAAACCAAAATTTCCAATACTATATACACATTTTGCAAGCAAAAGGGTTTAAGAGAGTGAGGCTTGGAGACCTGCACACATCCAATATTCCGCAACTCTCGTGGTAACATGAACACAGCTATTTCATCAAGCTCTTGAGCGAAATTTTGGATCACACACATAGCATCACTGAGTATAAAAGCTTGAATTGTCCTATATTCCGCACGCCTCTTGATTCTGCAATCCCTGCATGCTTTAAAAGGATCAGAGAGACAGTGATCATGTCCCCCCCCACGAGATATATTTAGCACTCAACGACGTTTATGATATGTTCTCTTTCACTGTGCTATCTTGCGGAGTGCTCTTTCTCTACGGCAGTGCTGCAAGATGTTTCCAAATACATTATTTTCACTGTTGCGCTGCATTTCAGTTTTGCGTTGTGCCGCGCGTACTATTTTATGTTTCTATATAATCGCACCGTGGGGTTAGCGATAGACCGTTGTGTATTTGCTTTGATGTTGGTTTTAAGACCTATCAGCCGTAGGAGGGTTATTAAGGCCTATCATCCGTAGGAGGGTTATTAAGGCCTATCAGCCGTAGGAGGGTCATTAAGGCCTATCAGCCGTAGAAGGGTTATTAAGGCCTATCAGCCGTAGGAGGGTTATTAAGGCCTATCAGCCGTAGGAGGGTTATTAAGGCCTATCATCCTTGGGGGGGGGGGGTTGTTTTGACCTGTCAACTGTGGGATTGTTACTGAGGCCTATCAACTGCTGTAGGGTTGTTAAGGCTTATCATCAATAGGTCTGAATATGGTTGTTCTTAAGACATATCAACTGTGGAATGGCTATTAATACCTATTAAATTGTAGGGTTAATAAAACCTATCAACAATTGGAGGGTTATTAAGGCATATTAACCACCGGAAGATCACTAAGTTATGCCAAACACTGAAGGATACTAAGGCCATAGGGAGGTTATTAAGGCCTATTAGGCAAGGAAGAGTTATTAATTAGGGTCACCATAAAAGTATGCTAACCAACCAACAATTATCGGTTAGACCTGACTATAGGTTGGATTAAAACTAACTCGTCAACCCCATCCTCTTGAACTAAGAGGACCTATAGTAACTCTCAGTTCGAAAGTGCCAATATGTGGTGATGGACCACCAATATGTGGTGATGGACCACCAATATGTGGGGATGGACCACCAATATGTGGGGATGGACTACCAATATGTGGTGATGGTCTACCAATATGTGGTGATGGACCACCAATATGTGGGGATGGACCACCAATATGTGGGGATGGACCACCAATATGTGGTGATGGACCACCAATATGTGGTGATGGACCACCAATATGTGGGGATGGACCACCAATATGTGGGGATGGACCACCAATATGTGGTGATGGACCACCAATATGTGGGGATGGACCACCAATATGTGGTGATGGACCACCAATATGTGGTGATGGACCACCAATATGTGGGGATGGACCACCAATATGTGGTGATGGACCACCAATATGTGGGGATGGACCACCAATATGTGGTGATGGACCACCAATATGTGGGGATGGACTACCAATATGTGGGGATGGACCACCAATATGTGGTGATGGACCACCAATATGTGGTGATGGACCACCGACATGTGGTGATGGACCACCAATATGTGGGGATGGACCACCAATATGTGGTGATGGACCACCAATATGTGGTGATGGACCACCAATATGTGGGGATGGACCACCAACATGTGGGGATGGACCACCAATATGTGGTGATCGACCACCGATATGTGGTGATGGACCACCAATATGTGGTGATGGACCACCAATATGTGGGGATGGACCACCAATATGTGGTGATGGACCACCAATATGTGGGGATGGACCACCAATATGTGGGGATGGACCACCAATATGTGGTAATGGACCACCAATATGTGGGGATGGACCACCGATATGTGGTGATGGACCACCAATATGTGGGGATGGACCACCAATATGTGGTGATGGAGCACCAATATGTGGTGATGGACCACCAATATGTGGGGATGGACCACCGATATGTGGTGATGGACCACCAATATGTGGGGATGGACCACCAATATGTGGGGATGGACCACCAATATGTGGTGATGGAGCACCAATATGTGGTGATGGAGCACCAATATGTGGTGATGGACCACCAATATGTGGGGATGGACCACCGATATGTGGTGATGGACCACCAATATGTGGGGATGGACCACCAATATGTGGTGATGGACCACCAATATGTGGTGATGGAGCACCAATATGTGGTGATGGACCACCAATATGTGGTGATGGAGCACCAATATGTGGGGATGGACCACCAATATGTGGTGATGGACCACCAATATGTGGGGATGGACCACCAATATGTGGGGATGGACCACCAATATGTGGGGATGGACCACCAATATGTGGTGATGGAGCACCAATATGTGGGGATGGACCACCAATATGTGGTGATGGACCACCAATATGTGGGGATGGACCACCAATATGTGGGGATGGACCACCAATATGTGGGGATGGACCACCAATATGTGGTGATGGAGCACCAATATGTGGGGATGGACCACCAATATGTGGTGATGGAGCACCAATATGTGGGGATGGACCACCAATATGTGGTGATGGAGCACCAATATGTGGGGATGGACCACCAATATGTGGTGATGGAGCACCAATATGTGGTGATGGACCACCAATATGTGGTGATGGAGCACCAATATGTGGGGATGGACCACCAATATGTGGTGATGGAGCACCAATATGTGGTGATGGACCACCAATATGTGGGGATGGACCACCAATATGTGGGGATGGAGCACCAATATGTGGGGATGGACCACCAATATGTGGTGATGGACCACCAATATGTGGGGATGGACCACCAATATGTGGTGATGGACCACCAATATGTGGGGATGGACCACCAATATGTGGGGATGGACCACCAATATGTGGTGATGGAGCACCAATATGTGGGGATGGACCACCAATATGTGGGGATGGACCACCAATATGTGGTGATCGACCACCAATATGTGGGGATGGAGCACCAATATGTGGTGATGGACCACCAATATGTGGGGATGGACCACCAATATGTGGGGATGGACCACCAATATGTGGTGATGGACCACCAATATGTGGGGATGGAGCACCAATATGTGGGGATGGACCACCAATATGTGGGGATGGACCACCAATATGTGGGGATGGACCACCAATATGTGGGGATGGACCACCAATATGTGGGGA